GGCTCGTGGGATTACATCACTCGCCTTCGGCTCGTGCTATAAAGCCCCCACGAGCCAAAAAACACTTTTCCGCACTTGTATCGAAATATACTATTACGAGATCGAATGCGCGCTCTGCGAGCCTATTAAAGGAATACAATACACGCGCGTCATTCGTGTGCGTGACATTGCTAAGGTAATTAATATATCCATATTTATTGCCACACGACTCTGCCTAACACGGTAGATTGCTCAAACGACTCGTCGTTCTCCATTCTAATACAATTCACATTAATCAGATGGAGAGCCATTAAATAATTGAGACCATTTTTTTTCGCAACTTTTCAAACTGGATATCGAACAAATTCAGTGAAAAATAAAAATTATTCTTACTGATCTTCTTTTTATTATAATGAAGAGAGATGAATAAACGCGTGGCACATTTTGGTCATCTCCTTTTTATTATAGAGACATAGATAGATAACAAAACATGTTCGCATCATCATGCATTTTGTGTCCTGATGCTTTGACAATTTATCATTGCGAAAACGTGAAAAAATCCCGAAAAAATAAACGCGTGATTCATTTTAGCCATTTCCTTTTTATCATAGGTAGATAACCAATATGTCCGCATTATCATGAATTATGTGTCGTGATGCTTCGACAATTGTATTGCGAAAACGTGGAAAAATTCCGACAAAACAAACGCGTGACACATTTTAGCCATCTCCATCTTATTATAGATTATGAGTAGAAAAGCAATCTTAAACAAGACAAAACATTATTCCAATGAATAATTAATACAATTACTCAACGCTTCAAGTGACAAAATGATGGGCAAAGCAATTGACTGACCGGTCATGTCCAGAGATTGAGAACCAAGAGAGCTAGGTGTCTCGTGTGAGGTGAGAAGTCATTTATTGAATCACAAGTGATGCTTCATCAATTTACCAAATTATTGCAACATTTTCGGGATCGATTGGCGCGGGATATTCGATCGAATAACTTCAACTCATTACAAAAATTATCCGCGCCATTGGGACAAGTACAAATTCTTTTGACGAAAGTTTTTTTTCTCAGTGCAAGATAATCTTTTCTTGTCAATGTTCGAGTCATATGTTTCTTGATTCAAGTGAAGACGTACTCACAATAAGTCTCACTCACAATAAATCGACTGAAGTTACTCAAAATAAAACTCAAATATCACAATGTTACGCTATTTAACTGTTGATGATGCATTCATATTTTTTTTGTTGATTATTCGGATTGGATAATAGAATTGTATATATGAATGACGGGCATCTTCTACATGCAATATAACACATGCCTAAAAAAGGTTTTGAATGTGGGGGGTCTGTGGATGATTATTTACTTATGTTGATTTCAAGTGTTCGCTCTTATGATCGAGCAGACACGACTGAACTCGGATATCGATGAGGCTTTTTTTCGGGATTGCAGAGTTGTTTCGTAAGAGAATGAAAAATTATCGGACGTGTGATTCATGGGAACACTCGCCGGCCCCAGTGTGCATACACGACGCCCACGATTGTCTCTATTGTAATGCAGTCGTACATTACGTTTTTCTTTCATGTTTTTTTTCATCTGAATTCCTCGCAGATAAACGAACAATTTAATTGAATATTTACTCGAGTGAAGTCTATTTCTTGAGCTTGAGTTTGCCGTTGAAAGAGTAGGTTTTTCAGGGGTTTTCTTTCTCTCTTGTCGTTCATTATATGAGTTCATTAACGTCTTTTTCTACGTGATTACTTTGACGTATATTCCAACTCGATTGGAAAACTGTACTTCATGGCTTTGAAAACGTTATTTCAGTAATTTTTGTGCTTCCGAATGGAAGCATTCTAATCGTCCAATTTTCACATTCTGTAATTTTAATTAAAAATGATGTAGGATGATCTGAAACGTACAAATACGAAGTGTGGTGAACAAGTCTGTATGTGAGCATGTCCACCGCCACCTTCCGGGTGGTCAATTTTTAGAAAATTGTGGGGGTGTGCACGAGACTCAAACGAGACTTCACTTTAAAGAGATCATCTCGCTCTGAAGCAAAATGGACATTTTCGGGACTGTTCAGTCTCGAAAAGCGTAGTATTGCCTCCCCTTTGCACGACTCCAAGAAAATTTACGTCCTCTATCCTCTCTTTTTTCCTACGAGATCGGCCGCGCGTGCTACGCACGCGCCTTCTCATCTCCTCACGTAGTGGCGCTTCGGTTTCAGTCTTACGCTTACGCTTATTCGAGATTTTCGAGATATTTCGAGATCAATTTTCTTTCTCCTTTTTACGATAGGATTTTTAACGTGCACGAGACCGAGACCGAGACTGAGACCGAGACCAAACATAAAAGACCGGAAAAAGTGAAGAGTGTGATCAGATAAATTATCTCGAAGTCATGACCAGAGGAGAAAATAGTATGTTTTTTGGCCTGGGACGGTCCCAAAAATTTCCATGTTTTTTTAGTGCGAGACGATCTCTTCAAAGTAAAGTTTCGTTTGGATCTCGTGCGCAGCCCTTGAAAATCTAGTAGTTCAGTGGTGAAAATAATTCCAAAAAATCTGAAATTTTGTCAAATTATGGGTCTTAATAAGGACTTACTCTGTGCAAAATTTCAGTCCGATCAATCTAATAGTTTTTTAGAAAAAGCGATTCGTTTTTAAATGGTTTTCCGAAAACATGTTGAAAACTGGCGAACCGATTTCGATTTGTCTGTTTTTAAAATATTCATTTCGATGCCTTCTATTTAAATTAATTAAAACATATACACCCATCCATACAAAGTTTTCGAGATATTTCCGTTTTTCCGTTTCTTCCATAAAAACCTTTGTAATCCTCTAGCTTGTGCAAAAATTGAGATATCAACTTGTTTATTCTCATTTTTTTTTGCAATTGCCAGCTTCACGGATGTGAAAAAATGACATGACACGTCACTGACGGTCATGTCAGTCATGTCATTGAAGTTTATTAACTGTCATTTCTCTTCTTGAGAATGGTCAAATAGTTGATATCAATACACGGAGAAAAGGAAAGAAAAATTACCAAACAAGTCAAGTAATAGTGGAGCGAACTCGGTTTTCAATACTTTTTCACCCTATATTGGGAAAAAAGTTTGAGGCGAGTAGTGAATTTTTCTTAGTTGACCCAGGAAAAGTTACGAAACGTGAGGGTAATTTGTGCCGAAAATGTAAAATTTACCCTGCATTCCATCAAAAATTATCCCAGTGAACGTGAATGATTGCTCAATATTGCGTATAATTTTTCTGTGATGGAGAACAATTTTTTAACGAACGCGTTCGATAAAATTTCGCTTCTATTCGTCCCCATTCAGATGCGTGTAAGAAAAAAAATACCCTACCGGTGTAGGAAATTTTACTGTACACGAGAATAATTGTTGCATCGAGATGTACTTTTTTCACCAAACGAATGGCAAAATATCCTACACAAACAGGTATTTTTTCAATGAAATACTTTTCGCTCTACGATTACCTTCCGTACAGTAAAATTTACCACGATTTTCTAGGTAAATGCTATCCAACTTTTCTCTCCATATAAATATGGTTTCATCAGACAAAATTCATTTTCGATTGAAAAGTTCAAACCCCGGCCGAGCTAAAATTCAACACCAATTTTTCATCACAATTTCCCACATGATATCCATCTGCAAATTGCACGCAACTTTCAAACCGAATATTTCACAAAATTTGCAATTGAAAAATCCACTCCACATTCAACATTCCCTGGGCGATGGTCACGTTGGCAAGTCAACGCTTGCACCGAAAAACCAGTGAAATTGAAAAATTTGTGACAAGATTTTGTGACAAATTAATGACATTCACATTGCATTTAACTAGCTGATTGGCACATGTTAATCGATAGTATCAGCGAAATCCTGACCCGAAAAAACGACGTCACATCGCTATCATATTTTTCTGACCTGACAGATATCAAAACGTGACGTTATGTCGCATCCCTGGTCAGCTTCTCAATTATGGCCACACCATTCAATTAGAAATCAGAGAACCTCGGCAAACATAGAGTCTGATATTATTAGGCGTCTCTGAAATTATATTCTCTTCCATTACTTTCATCCCCGACATTTTCCAAGGAAATATGTAACGCAAGACAAAACCAACCAACTACAATTCCTCGTACCATCATCATTATTATTTTTCCAATTACCTATGAGTATTGGCGATTGGACCGATGTGCAAGAGACCTCTTGCCTCCAGCCAGTTACACAATATCGCGATCATGTTCCCTCTAATAAAACTCGTTCGTTGGAGACCAAGGCAACGTCTTTCTTCCTTATTTCCACACACCTGGAGAGATAACCCTCCCGCCGGAAGTAGGATAAAACGATCCCGTATAAATTCAAGGAGAGACGCAACTTCGATAACCTCAGGAGACATTACCCCTTTCACCCCTCCAGCCTCCGTCCTTTCTCTATCACTTGGCCTCATGATCCTCTCCTCCCACCTCCCGCATAATCGAACCTTCGTTTTCTCCGAGGATCAACGACGCGCCTCGTGTTTTAATGCAACTTTTCAAACCAAGAGGAAAATATTCCCGAGAATTCTCTTCCAGTTGACCTCTTTCAAGCATCTTCATCCCATCTCTTCACGTTTCCGTTGATCGCGTGTCTCAGTAGATCCCTTCGATTAACGACAAGAATCTCAGATTTTCCTGAGCTTAGAAAATGCTTGTAATCACGCTTACCGCACGTACAAATTCTATAGGGCATTCAGGCGAGCCGTTATCTACTGGTGCGTTTGTTTTAATTGCCAGTGGTACTCCACAGTAGGTTATGGAGGAGAGGAGGGGATTCACCTACCCCTCGCATTCCCCTCCCAGTAACAATCTTCCAGGATTCTCCAACGTTAATTAGTTTTGCTCCAAAATGCTATATTTTGCCTCCCCTGTTACCCTCTACTGGCTCCCTTGATTACTCTTAGTTATATCGGCAGTGAATATCTACAGTGTAATAATGCTAATAATGAAAACACTTAGTTTCAGAGTGGTACTGCTGATCTCAGCTGCCCTGTCCTCATGGCAAGCACGGGCCGACTATCTCAGTGAGAAAAATGGTGAGTTCAAGGATTTCATCCAATTTAATGAATAAAGAATTAGGTAAACAGATTCGAATTATACTTCCAATTTTATTCAATTTTTACCGAGCAATACAATCATCGTTTCTACAGGATTTTGGTGATTGATTTGAAAGAGTTCGAGAGAATTAAATAGTAAACATTACTATGGCCATAGGAGAGGTTTTTAAAGGGGTTTTCAACTGTCCCTACATAGTAATCCTTACTGTTACATGGTAATGCTTACTATGTCCCATGGTAATGGTTACACCATGTGAATGGAAAATGGTTCTATAAATATCGAAAGTATCTCTAAACTACCCGGTTGAAATTCCAATTGCCTCTTGATGCGTTCATAAACTCAAGGCGCTTGAAGCTTAAACTCTTCAAAAAAATTAAACAAATTAAGTTTATCTTTATTTGTTTAATTTAAACAAATTATTTATTTAAACAAATTATTGTTTTATCTTTATTTGAAATTTTCCTATCAAATTCTGCAATATTTTTGTTCGAAATGTATATATTTATTAAAATAACAAAGCTTCAATTATATGGAATCAATAGTGCATTTATTAGAAGTAAATAATCAATTGGAAACAAATAAACAATTTATCTGATTCAAACAAAGAATTATTGCACATCAATAAATTCTTTTCCTTCGCCATCTAAACAATGATTCCCTTTCTAACTAATAAAATCTTTACTTCTATGAAGAAAGGATTTGTGTACATTTATGCAACTATTTAGTTAATTTTTAAAAAATGCAACTGGAAATTTAATTTAACTTTTAATCCGCTTTATTAGGAGCTCTCTGAATAAATCCATTATTCCATTCAAAAATAGAATTTCTCTTCTCGATGGTTCTTACAAGAAAATGCTTGTTCTTGAATTAATGATATTTCTGTCTAACAATGATCTACTCATGTTTCATTCCTTGATGGTATTTAATTATTTAGAATAATTTCATTATGTGTTATAGGACATTTTACCTAACATAAGGAGCTCTACTATGTAACATAGTAAGCGTCACATAGTAAACCTTACGATGTCCCATGGTAACCATTACCATATCCACAGTAATACTTACAAAACTGTGATAACGTTCACTATGTGCGGATTCCAACATAGTAATCGTTGCTATTTTATTTTTTCCGTGTGCCTCCGAATTTTTTAATTTGTGCATTGTTAATTATTTAATTGTTTCCCTCGTATAGAGGTCTGAAAAGTAGAAAGGTAGCATAAATCATCCTGCTTTCCATGTATTTTGTACCTTAAAAACATCTAAGGTTTGAGCGATTAAAATAGCCCGGTGATAATACACACTGTGATTTGAAGTAGATTTGAGCTAACTGGGAGCCAATATAGTAAACAGTAAAAAATTCTAAGTGAATATAGAGTCTAGGCCGTCACCAAAACGAGTAAAATCAAGTCCACACTCGTTTTCGGTATGGACGCCCGGAGTGTATCAATTCCGGAGTTAACTAATGAGTGGAGTAAAAAATTGGCACTGCCATGATGTCAATATAAACATGGCTATCAATACAGTTTGGTATAAAAAATAAAAATCCACTCCGCACCACAATTTGACTGGGGGCTGAGGGTAAATTGAACTTCCAAAACGAGTTGATTTTAACACCGAAATATTGAATCCCTCACGCTGGAGACATTAACGCCGAATCATTTTTTTCTATTTATGAATTATGCTATCGAAGTTTGTGGTACACTGTTAAAAATTTTGAGGCAGAAATGGCACTCTGTGCAAATTTTATCAACTCTTGTAGTGAAATTATACACGCAGAAAATGGCTTTTTTTGAATTCAGTAAACTTTACTTCAAGGAAATAAATCATTTATTTGAATCTACTAGAGAATTTATTTAATTCAAATAAACCATTGTAGGAAGTATTTTAATGAAAGGGTATAAACTCTATGAATTCACTCCCCAAATAACTTTTCAAAAGAGTAGATATTTGTCCATATATTGTAGGACGCCTTTTTTACAGAGTCGTCATTAAAAATGCAAACAATATAGTATTTGAATAATTATATCTCAGTCGGTTGAGTGCTCTTGCCCACGGCCCAGGGCAGACTATCGACGGTCCCGTTCATCGTGGGGACGCCAGACCCAGGTTCGTCAAATGTTGAGAGTCTTTAGAGTCTTTAACTTTAGACTACGTCGACTACGTCGAGATCTGCGTCGCCACCGGATCGATTGCTGAGAGGATGTTTACGCTATAGTACGCGTGCATCTCTCCGGATAAAGCTAATTCCGCCCCTGGCTACGATTATCCAGTCCCAATATTAATATGTGGATATTCTCTTTACCCCATTTTTTCAATTTAAGGAATTTTACAATGAAAAATTCGAGCGGTGAAACTGTGAATTTCGGTTCCATTATCTGTTGTAAAACCCTGAGGCGTTCAAAATTATCGGATGTTACAGAGTGCGAAGCACGGAAACGTCTGGGAAATATTCGATGAATTTTGAAGGTCGAGGGTTTTCTGGGTTCGATCAATCAGAGTTCCGTCGCCGAAGTCACGTGGCACCGTACACGATTACCTGACAGAAATAAACAAAAATTGTTTAATATTGTTATCAATTTCTCGTAAAGAATTCGCGCCAATTCTTGTAAACAATTCGCGTCGATTTAAATCGACTCATTTTTACTAACTCTTTATGTCGAAACAAATCAACGCAACCTCCCACAAGTTTCTTTCACAAATCGAAATGTCAAAATCAGAGAGAATAATCCACAGGCAAATGTGGAATCATCACTTTGATAATTCACTAGTAGCCTGGTGAATTATCGACAGCTTCATTGTAAATGAAGGTGTCAAGTTATGCAGACTAAAAATTCAGCTTGCACAGCACGAGGTATTTGATGGGAATTATCTGCTATAATACCCCAAGACCTTCAAAATTATCGGATATTTTCCAAATGTTTTGTTGCATAGCAAAGAGAGGGATCAATTTTGCAACAATCTGCAAAACTGAGACCGATCGTTGACAGGCAGGAAATCTTGAAAGAAATATGCGATGAATTTTGAAGGTCGAGGAGTATTCGGAGGATAATTTCTTGAATTCTGATTTTGGCCGATCAGGGTGCGGTGTTCGGGGTTACGGGACAAATTTGTAAAAAAAAATTGACAGGCTACAGGGAAATTATTAGCTATAATACCCCAAGACCTTCGTAAATTATCGATAATGTGAAGTGTCGAAATCAGAATTGAGGAAATTGTCAAAATAAAACTAATGTGAAGGTGTAAAGTGATCCTGAATACGGTACTCTGATTATTCGGAATTAAAATTGAGGAAATTGGTAAAATAAAATCGGCGTGAAGGTGTCACGTGACGAGAAGGGAGGAAATTCTCATTCAAAGTTGTCATGCAACTGAATAAAAATAACCGAAAATTATCCAAATAATTTTACTTCCTTCAACGTAGTATATATTTTTTATTACTACTTCCTAAATTTCTTTATAATACTTCCTCCTCCAAATTTTCATTCAATTTTTATCGAGCAATACAATCATCGTCTCTCCGACATATTGATAATTGATTTAGAGCGAAGGGTGAAATAACTGGGAGTGAACAGAGTATGAATTATATAGTCAAAGTTTTCGGTAGTTTTCGTTGGATAAGCGGATGGAAAATTCCCGAGGGAGATGGAAATTTACACAGGCAGAAAATATAATTTACAGCATGGCAAAGTGAGCTGATAGTGAACTGCCTCGGGAGGGTCCTCCCTTCAATCTTCGATCGACGTTTACTTTCATCAACACACGTGGGAATTGTTTTAGTACTTCGTCACACATCTTAGCTCCCCGAGGCTCTCCCAGTGCCCCCATCGGTTGGCCATTCACCCAGTGACATTTTCCACTTGATAAATCATTGAACAATCCCGTATATCCACGTGTTATATTTTTTTTACATTTCAAGCGCAGAAAAGCTATTTCATTCGTTCATCGAATAATATTTGTATGTCCGCCTGAATTGGACACGATGTGCAAAAGCATTGGCTCCATGGGGTCCATTTATGAGTAGTAAACATCGCTTTTCGAGTTTTCCCGTTGATTCGTTTAGGAAAACATTGTGATCAAATGCAGTCGTGAAAAAATGAATGTCGTTGGTGGAAGAGCGTTTCCATAATCCCGGAAATATTGGGGTGAGTTATCCAATCGTTTTAGCGTCAATTGCGTAATTGGAGGGAAATATATAGATCCGCGGAGGGGTGAGGGGATTTTTTCCTTGTAATAATAAGTATTTTATGATTTCCTAGAGGCCAATGATAAAATCCCCCAGTCCGAACAGCTGAAGCTATATCCCTCACAATATACAGGAACAAACGAGCAGAGGGAGAAGAGGAGGACAATTCTTGTTATGCTTCGTTTCCACGAGTGAAGCCTTTAACGTTGGAAAATTCTCAAATTAAATTCTTTGTTCTATTCAATTGGTGACCAGGGATACTAATCAAGGGGAGTTTCACAACATCAAAGGGACTATTTTCGATTTAATTGACATTCTGGATATTTAACTACTACGTAACTTGGACAGTTATTGACAACTCCATCGATACACCTCTCATCGCTTGGAAAGGTTCTAGAGGGTTGAGCGGGGAGGAGGTGGAGGAGGGCTGCGCTACTGTTCTCTTATCATCAGAAATAGCGCGGGCAAGTGCCTCAGGCGGAGACGAATGGCTCCCGGAGGATGCCAGAGATAACGGCGTGATCCAAGCACCACTGTGCACTATTCCCCACCTCCTCAGCATTTCTCTCTCTCTCCGATCTCTTTTATGCGGTGGTATACCATCTAAAACTTCCCCTTATATCATTCGCTAACTTGTTTTCCTGTAATAACCCAGTTAAAAATCTCTAAAGCTCCCGCATCGGAAGAGAAAAAAAGCATTTTGAGTAATTCTTTTTCTATCCGTCCTCTCACATTTTTATTCTGCTCAACCGAAGAGGGTGAGGACATCCTCCCTTCCAAGAGGACGTAAAACAA